CGAGTTCTAAGATCACAGGTCTGAGCCATCGCCCAGGGGTTTTTCACTTGTGTCCTCGAGAAGGCCCTTTGCCAGGTAGCTGTGTCCTTGAGTTGAAACTTCCCTTTCCACCAAGCTTATGGAATTTAGTAGGCTCTGGAAAGTGAGAAAGTTACAAGATTCACAGTTTCCCCCAAGGTTTATATAAGCAATAGACACTTTTTGGGGAAAGGAGACCCCCAAGTTGTGCAGCATTCTGACCACTTTTCTTCCAGAAAATTGCTTAAAAGTAGCAGTAGCCCCCTAACCCTCTCCCAAGAGTAGAACATTATTGTACAAATGAAGTTCTTAGGCAAAGATAATACAAGACTAATTTCACTTACGTCTGTATAATCTCATTTCAAAGCAGTTTATGTTATCTCATTTGATCATTCTTAGGAACTCAGAATTGTCATGTGTGTGTCAGAGAGGCTGAGGGAAGAGCACCAAGAACTTGATGTCATCCTTGGCTACTTAGTGACTAGGTGACTCATGTCTTTAATCCCAGCACTTGGGAGGCAGAGGCATGCCAATCTCTGAGTTTGAGGCCAGCCTGGTCTACAGAGCAAGTTCCAGGACAGCCAAGGCTACAGAGAAACTCTGTCTTGAAAATAACAAAATAAATAATGAAATAAATATAAACAAAACCACAACTCTTCGCCGGGCGGTGGTGGCGCACGCCTTTAATCCCAGCACTCGGGAGGCAGAGCCAGGTGGATCTCTGTGAGTTCGAGGCCAGCCTGGGCTACCAAGTGAGCTCCAGGAAAGGCGCAAAGCTACACAGAGAAACCCTGTCTCGAAAAACCAAAAAAAAAAAAAAAAAACCACAACTCTTCAAGCCAAGAATTCTACATGGCCAATAAATGAAGGAACCAGGCTTAATACCTGCCTAATTCCAGATCAATGTTTCATATTTACTTAATTCCACTACACATACTGTATCACCCCTAAATACAGATTGCCAGTACAACAGGTTATTAACATTCTAATCTCTTAAAAAGATTTTATTTTTAATTGTGCGTATGCTGTCTGTCTCTATGTGGGAAGATGCACGTGAGTGTAGGTGCCAGAAGAGGGCGTCAGATCCCCTGGAACTGGAGTTACAGGTGGTTGTGAGTCATGCAGTGTGGGTGCTGGGAACTGAACTCAGGTCCGCTGCGAGGGAAGTATGATTTCTTAACCAATCAGCCAGCCCTCTGGCGCCGGTCACTCTGATCTTCCTCAAGTCTGTAAAGAAAGTTAAACATATGTCTTAGGGATTCTTATTACTATGAAGAGACACCATGACCACAGCAACTCTTATAAATAAAAACATTTACTTAATTGAGGGTGGCTCTCTCACAGTTTCAGAGGTTCAGTCCATTATCATCAGCAGGATGGGGAGCATGGCAGCATGCAGGCAGATGTGGTGCTGGAGCTTAGAGTCCTACAGCTTGACTTAGAGGCAACAGGAAGTCAACTGCCTGTCCCTGAGTGAAGGGGGGGAAAAAGACTTCAAAGCCCGCTTCCACAGTGACACTCTTCCTCTAACAAGACCACATTTTCTAATAGTGTCACTCCCTTTGGGGGGCATTTTCTTTCATACCACCACAACATAGTCGGCTTTCTTTATTATTCGAATTCCATGATTCTGGTTCTAGAACCTCCAACCGTAGAGAGAATTACTTTTGTGGAAGTGTATGTTTTCTCTAGGAATTCATTCCCTTTCTAACAATATCCTACTAAATATAAGAATCAAACAAACACAGAGATAATGATAGGGGCTTTACCTTTGAAGAACTCAAAATTTAACTGTGTTTAACCATCAAGAAAATAGAAGACAAAATGGAGTAAGTGCTGCTATAGGATTTGTTCTGGGGAGATGAGGGGGTACTTCTGAACAAAACATGGAGCCTCCAATCCAAATAAGAATTAATGGTCTGGGCTGCGTAAACGGCTCAGAGGGTAAAGTGTGTGCTACACAATTATGCCCACGTAACCTCAGGTTTCCAGGAGCTATGTAGAAAGCTTACTGTGGTGGTATGATGCAAGGTGGAGATGGGGGGATCCTAGGGGACTGGTTGGCTAGTCTAGCCAATCGGTAAATTCCAGACTCAGTAAAAGATCTTGTGTCAAAAAATAAGGTGGTGGAGGGGCTGGAGATGGCTCAGTGATTAATAGCACTTGCGGTATGCTCACAGAGAAGCAGAGGTTAGGCATCTCCCTAACAAGCCGAGCATCCAGAAATGCCTGTTAAGTCCAGCTCTGAAGGAGCTAATGTCCTCTTCTGGCCTCCAAATGATTGAAGGTATACACACACACACACACACACACACACACACACACACACACACACACAAGCACTTCATATTCTTCTTTGTTTGCTCATCTTTCACTCTAGCCTATCTAGCCTAGATTGACCTTGAAATCATGGCAGTTTTCCTCCCAAGTGCTGAGATTACAAGATTACAGGCATCATCATCCCAGGAGTTATTTAAACTCACAGAGGTCCACCTATCTCTGCCTCCTGAGTGCTGGGATTAAAGGCCTTGCATGTACCACCATGCCTGGCTATTTATTCTTTAATGTTTATGTTGTGTATTTATTTTCATCACTAGTACTGATGTATAAATATCAAATTCCACTACGGGGCAAGTCAACCAGCACATATTATGCACCGATGATGTATCAGGTTCTACACAAAAAAGTATACAAAGGTATAAAAGGATTCAGGAACATAACTCATTTGGAAAGAGCTTTCTGTGTAAGAATGAATCCCTGAATATGTTCCCTGCACCCATGTAACAAGAGCTGGGCATGGTGCTGAACGTTTGTAATCACAGTGCTGGGGAGGAAGAGAACCAGGGGATCCATGGAGCTCAGCAGTTAGGCCACCTAGCCTACTTGGTGAGTCCCAACCAAACCCAGCAAGAGACTTCATTTCAAAAAATAAGGTGGAGTCTGTGTGGCGATGGCTGTCCTGGAACTCACTCTGTATACCAGGCTAGCCTTGAACTCAGAGATCTGTCTGCCTATGCCTGCCTCTCAGAGTGCTGGGATTAAAGGCATGTGCCACCACCACAACTAGCAACTAGGCTTTAATCCCGGTACTCAGGAGGTTAAAGCAAGCTGTTTGTTGTTGGTTCAAGGCCAGCCTGGGAAATATAATGAGTTCCGAGATTGCCTAGGTTATAGAAGGAGACCCTGTCTCAAACAAACAAACAAACAAATCTCAAAACAGAAAATTTTAATCAGTAGCACTCAGGTTCTAGAATTTTATTTGAATGCAGGATAGTATGATAATGCACATAATAGTTTCCTTACTAATTGATAATATTTTTATTTTTCCCTCCTGCAAAACATTTAATCTCTGCATCAATCTGACATGCAAAATCTTCCAAGTGCTGTATGGTAGGTAGCTTTCACTAATCACAATATTATCAAGTATATAGTATAAAATTTTTAAAAAACTGTACCCATAATTCTAGTGCTTAAATGAATTTTATTTACTTGAGATCTACATCCAGGTAGCTTTTAGAGTCATAAGGCGATGTGGTATGATTTCAAATTTTATTTATTTATATGTGAATGACAGGGTCTCATATGGACCAGTCTGGCTTAGAACTTCTAGGTACCTAAGCATGACCTTGAACTTCTGATCTTACTGCCTCAGTCTGGTCTCTAGCACCGACTAGTCCTGTTTATGTGGTGGTGGTGATTAAAACAGGGATTTTCGAGTGCTAGGCAGGCACACTATCAACAGAACTACCACCCCACCTAATTTTTTTTTTTTTTTTTTTTTTTTTTTTTTTTTT